AGAGAGAGAGAGAAGAGTGGGAGAATAAAAAAAGGATGCTATTTGCATTAATTTCATGCTTCCTCCACAGTTTTCAGTAGATCTGTGCATTTTGTTTTCAGACCTAAGTGATCAATTGGTAGAAGTGGTTGGCCTGGAAGGAGCCATGGAAATGGGACAAATATATACTGGACTGAAAAGTGCAGGAAAACGCCTTTCTCAGTGTTCTTCTGTTGTCATTAGGTAAGAACCAATTTTCCCCATGAAAAAAAAATCTTTGCCTTTATCAATCAAAAACCAGAACAGGGGTAATCTGCCATTATCAATGAGAACTCAAAATAATACTTAATAACTTGGATGTTTTAAATGAAGTTTTAAGGAAATCATGGAAGATACTCTCAATGGTTAATTCAGAAGTAATTTATCATTGATAAATTACTAAATAGAGGCAACCATGGAATTATCACAAAACACTTCAGGTTGAACAAAACTGGGATAGTTTTTTGATCAGATACAAACTGTCTTGCTCATGTTCTTTTCTCAAATCAGTTGTCTGGCACTCTATTCACAAAATATTACAATAAATATGACACAAAATATGACAACATCATTGAATTTTTGAGATGTAACTGCTCTGTGTTAGTAAGATCAGCATGTATTAGTTATCTTCACATGATAGGTTGGTTTTGAAAGGTCAGTATGTTGTATTCAACCTGTTAATTGAATAATTCAATTAGAACTAAGGATAAGTAAGATACAAGGCAGAAAAAGTTAATGGAAAAAAAACCACAAGATAGATGGAAATGTATAAAAAAGAAAAAAGAGGGATTAAACAGTTCCAGTGATTAAAACAAAAACAAAAACAAATGGAGGACATTAGAAAAAGCAGTATGGCTGCACAAAAAGGTTATTGAAAATAGAAAAATAAAATAGTTGCACAAGTCACCAATGAAAAATGATACAAGTATTTATAGTCTGTTTAAGTAATAGTAGGGATCAGAATGCTATAGAGGTGGGTTGCTCCCAGTTTGGGCCGGATTGGGTGAACCAGTAAGTGGTGGTGGGATGCTCTGCCCACCCGCCCAGATTCTGCACATGTGCAGAAGCATCATGCATATGCAGGAGCATGCCCATACCGGTAGTAAAAATATTGACAACTCACCACTGGTATTAAATTAGCAGAAAGGCAAAGAAAAATAAACAATACAACTTCCAATATGTTTAAAATAAAAATAAGAGAAAATAATGTACAGAAGCTGATCTAAAGATGGCAAAAAATAATTGATTATAAGAAAAAGCAAAATCACTTTAAACTCCACTGTTGTATCTCAGAATAAATTTTCTGATTTAGTAGCTTCTTTACTACTAAGTAGATTGTTAGGATTCTATGAAATGATATGCCTAGATTTCAATAAAGTCTCACCATTTTAAGATTTGTTAGTTAAATATGGTACATATTGCAAGTCTAAAAATCCATAGCAGGAATCCTGCTGGAAAATGGCATCAAGATGGGTACCAGAAGAGTCACTGCTTAGGTTTGTACACTCCCAGATTTTTCTCAATAAATCCAATAAAAATTAGATTAAATGAATGAATGGATTTGATTTGCATAGACAAGTCTGTTAATTGCTAATGGTAATACTAAAAATTCTAAAATATTTCAGTAAATAGGCTGAAATTTATATAATCAAATACAAAGTGATCCATTTAATAATATACATGTAATGCATACAAATACAATGTGAGCTAGTTACTTAATTTAATACATGTGGAAAGGATCTTGTTAATCACAAACTGGATATAAATAAATAACATAAAGTCTGCTAAAAAATAAGTGTAGGATGAATTAAGAAAACAACTGTTTCCAAATCCCAAGAAATAATAATTCCATTATATTCTGCTTTAGTCAGATCTCATCATGTATATTGTATCTCATTCTACACATCTCTACAAATATGTCACTATATTTCAAGCAGTTCAGAAAAGGACAAGGAGAATGATCATAAGACTGAAAATTATAGGGAGAGATTAGGGAAATTTTAGCCTGAAAAAGAAAGAGGATTGAAAGGTGATATGGACTGTTCACGTACCTGAAAAGATGAATTGAAGACAGTCATTGAACATGGGTTCTATCATTGTAGACTGCATTACTTTGTAAAAGTTATTTTAGAAAGAAATTTAAGTTGTAGGAAGAAAAGTCTTAGGAGAATTTTAGGAGTGGTAGTATAATGGTAAGAGCAATTCAATAGTGGAATAATTTGCATGGGAAGTAGTATTTTTATTAGTAGCATTCTAACAGGAATTCCAATATAATTTTAGGGATGCTTTAATTTGGATTCCTGCATTGAGCAGTGGGTTGAATTTAGTGTCTTAAAAATTTTTTCCCCACTCTATGATTCTTTAATTCTGTGAATGATTTCACAAATAAATTGGCTCAGACATCTCCTGGAAACATGCCTGTTGGAGACCTGTTGAAACAAATTGCTAATTTACCATATGGCAAAGTTAACTAGGAGTAACTAAGAGCCAAGATTGTTAAATCAATCATGCTTGTATTTGATTTTTTTAAAAAAATAATGAATTATGGATTTATTGTGGAATTGGGAAATACATACATATATATATATATGCTATATATGTTAAAAAGAGGTGTATATGCCTTATTTTTCAACTATGATTGTGACATTGCACTGTACTATTTTCCATGTCATACTTGGCATTTAAAACATGTCCTGGATTTATTTTCTCTGCATTCCTATTTTTTCTTGCATTAGGACTAGCAAATCTCTGCCTATGCAGATTGATGGGGAGCCATGGATGCAAACACCTTGTACAGTAAGTTTGTCTTACTCAGTATATTCAATAAGGTGATCAATGTAATGCAATTAGTGCTTACTCTATGATCCTGAAATATTGCACATTTCAGTAAGAATGATTTATGCAGCACAATACACAATTACATTCATTAACTTCTTTTGTATGATTCAGTACATACAAGTTTTCAGTTGCACTTTGATAAAAGAATGCTCAATAAATATTTCTGGCCATTCAACTTTTCTAACTGATTTTCTAACTGACTATGTCAGGCTTTGATTAAATAATCAAGGACATGTAATCATGTTGCAGAGACGATGGGATAGATCTCTATTCTAATGAAGTCAGATTAAATCATTATAGCCAATTCACATATTACACCCAAGTTTGTCACCAAGCGTTCACACAAAATGGAACTGAATGCAATCACAGATGGTTGCATTTTTGTGTTGATAATTTCAAATTGATGTTCCACCTTTATTTTAAAAAGAACACTCAAGAAAGAACAAGATGGTTAAAATAACAAAATGTCAAACAGTTTTTTTTTAATGATAATAATTGGAAATACCTTAAAGAAAAAGGACACTAAATAGTACAAGCAAGTTACAAGCAAATCAGATAAGCAAGTTAAGAATTTAGCATCAAAACATCAACAACCAGGCAAAGGAAAACTCTCCTAATGAAATATGAGTTCTGAACAGGAAGATCCACAGTCTTAGTGTGATCACTGAAAAGTCTTTTTTGTATAATAATAGCCAATCACATCTCTGACTATGAAATATGAAGAAGAACCTTAAATAAATGAAAGAGCAACATTTACAGGATCAAGCAAACAATTAAATACATGTGTCTGGAAAGCACGGTTTTTTAAAAGATCATACTGTAGGTTTTACATGTACTTCCTATGCCATCTTTCAACTAATTAATATACAAGTCAGTGTAAAAGAATTCCCTAAGAAAGCATGAATTATAATTAAATAAAATTTTAAGTAGAATATCAATAAATCCTATCAAAAAAAAGATAAAAGCAGCAGTAGATAATTCAGTCTAATTGTGAGAACACCAGCAGCCTCAAAACAGCCAGCACCTAGGCTTCTGGTGTCCTGTCCCCTTAAGAGCTCCCTCTAGCCAATCCAGCAATTGAAGGCTATAAAAGCTGAACAGAGACGCAGTTGTGGATGGAGTTGATATTTTTTTGTTTTCATTTGGAAAACTGAAAGTCCTTGAATGAGCCTAAGGCAAACAGAACAGTTACTGTTCTCCATAAGTAGGGATCACAAAGAGAAGTAGTGGAGGCATAGGAATTGAAAACAGGGATAAATAGTGAGTACTAGCCTTTGAGCACTATTTGTTGCCCAGAAGCCAGATGGAATTGTGTTAGCTGTCTAGGATTTGGAGTCCACAACTGTAGTTGTCAAACCTGTGGAAAAAAGTGGCCATTTATCCAAGTTCTGTAAAAGCTACAAGAAAAAAAAAAGGAAATGACTATAGTATTGTAAGCATTTCGGGACAGAATTATGATTCACAACAAATGTTAATGGGATCACTATGAGTGATTTAGTAAAATACTGGAAGTAGACATATGTCCTGATTTAGTAAAAAAAAAAAAAAAAGCAGTATAAGTATAGAAAGAGCCTCTTACCAGTCTTCGGGTAGAGTGACATGTTTAACAGGTAAAGTGGTAGTACTAAACTCAAACTTGCAACATAATGTAGTCTTATCTTTTTCGTGATCTTTTTCCTGACAATTATCTCTTCTTTTTTAATTTTTTCTTAACTTTTCTTATTGTTGATTTCTTTTTATCTTTTCTTTTACCTTTTCTTAACTTTCTTTAATCTTTATCTTTTTCCTTATTGTTTTCATATTTTCCTTATTTCCTTATCTTTTTCTTATCTTTCCCTTAACTTTTCTTATCTTTTTCTTATCTTAGCCTTATTTTCCTTATCTTTCCTTCTTATCTTTTTATCTTTTCTTATCTTTTTATTATTTTCATTATCTTTCATTGTTTTTCTTTATCTTTTTTATCTTATCTTACCTTTTCCTTACCTTTTCCTTACCTTTTCTTATTTTTTCTTAACTTTTTAAGTTTCTTTTTTCTCATCTTTGCCTTATTTTCCTTATTTTAATATTAATATTTTATTCTTTTTATCTTTTTTCTTATCTTTCCTATGTCTGATCTTATCTTTTTTCTTATTTTCTTATCTTTTTCCCTTTTTCTTTTCTTTATCCTTTTCCTTATCTTGTCCTATCTTTTTTTCTTTTTATTGACCTTTTTTCTTTTTAATATTATCCTTTTTATCTATATGATATGGTGCTACTGAAGAAATGTTCCTCTGGCCAATTGCTGCATGTTACATTCCATTGAACAGAACAGAGTTTTATAAGCTAACTGGATCAAAATAATACTTTTGGACTTGATTTGATCAGTTTTGTAGGTTGGTAACATATGCACTCACAAAGGGTATTTAAATATTTTTGGATGACTGAATGATTGCTGAGTGTACTGAAAATGCATCAGAATATAAGGTAACAAGTTCTAGAGAACAGCATTACAGGGTAATCAAACAGGCTCACCAAACAGGAATTTACTGATCGGGTTTAGTAAGAGTTTATTGGGAAATCTCTTGTAGATTTTCACTGCAAGTTCTTTTGTAAGATAACCAAAGAGCCAAAAAGAAAAAAAGAAACAAACTGGAGATAAATGGATAGGAATTTGCAATCATGGCTTGTAGTACTACTGCCTCCAAATAATTGGGTGTATGTTTGTAGATGAAAAAAAATCAGATGATTAAAGCAATATACACACTTCTTATAAGAGATACTTAAGGTTTATCGAATCAAAGGAGAAGCAACTTTACATAAGGAAAGTAATCTGACAAAAGAACAAGTTTAATAGATAACAGTGATAACTAGAAGCAAGAGACACATAATCTATTCTACACTACTAACTGAGAAACAATTTCACACCCTATTGAAGAAGACTGTAACTTCAGACAGAAAAATGAACACTGTGAAACAGGAAAGATAATGAGTTGGTGACTTGGGATGACATGAAACCATAACAAATGTACTGTGCTGCGGGAGCAAGGAATAAGTATTGACTTCCAAGACTTATAAAATTTATTGATAATTATTTCTTTCTGTTATGGGTACAAATTAAATTGCAAAGAACAGTTACATCATTCTACAATATAATTTGAATATCTAGGAAGGAAGCTCAAGAAGCTGTTATTGTCATTTATGTTGACTTTCATGAAGAGTGGAAAGAGAAGGAAGAGTGGCTTTTCTGGTAGATAATGTCAGTGGGAAAGAGCTGAGTCTTTGGCATAAGCAGGAATACTCGAACAACACTTATATGAAATTTCTTTAGTTAAACCCATTTATTTGAAAGAGCTTGCATTTTAATTGAAAGCATAATAGTTTGATGCATCAGGTCCAATGCACCCAGCAGGACTTTATGTAGAGAGCTATGTCCTATTTCTTTCTGCTCCATGTAGTAGAACTATGCTGTCTTCCAGGAAGAAAAGACTCTCATTGGAACGTTTATCCAACTGTGCTCAAACAATTCCTATCTAAACTCACAAATCTTATTTAGCAGTGAATAACTTATTTGCATACATGTGAGGTTTGTTACTCAATGATTTAGTTGGGTGTTATTTTGGAGTTCTCTTCACTAAACAGCATACACTTTTTTGTCAACCTATGCACAATTTTTGTTTTATTTTACAAGTTTCATTTTTTATTTTTGGTTCTTTTCTTTTTGCATAATTGACAATGCAATTTACTGCATGTGTGCTTTCTGCACCTTAGACAACTATATTGAGATGTAATCACCTATCTTTCCAGTTCAGATTGTTAAAGAAAAGAATTAGTTGTGACTAATTGCCAATTAATTTGTAGTAGTTAAAGGTGGGGGAGGGGCCAGAATAATTGCACTTACTAATTAAAATTTAAAATATTCCAAAGTGTCATCTTTAGGTGTCTGGAATACATAATTTCCATTTTGGTTCGGTGCTGGGTTCTGTAACAACCCTGATCTTGACAGCTTTATTAATTTAAAGGCTCAGCAATACCTATTAGTATAAAACATGAAAAAATGTCATTAATCATTTATTTTAATTTTGCAGCTCTGTCATTTTCTCAGTATGTTTAAAAATTATGATGACACCACCATGTTTTCCAATTTACCTGTGTGAAGGGGAAATGGATCACACTATTTAGGGGTGATACTAGACTATATTATTAAAGCTTAATTAATGCCAAACTAATTAGATTTAATTTCAGTTGGTGCAATGATATTGCTAAGAAATTGTTTAAATTTTTTCAATGATATTCTGTGGTAGATCACTGGCAAGGAGAATCTTTCCTATAAAAAATAGGATGTAAACAATCACAGGAATGGTAGTATAATTTAAAAATTTACAAGTCCTCCTAAACTTGCTTTATACTTAATAGGTCTGAGTTGCAGGTGTGCATCTGAAATTAGTCTTCTCAAATCACTAAAGCCACCCCTTGTTTTTCTAGAGTTGCCTGCATGGACAACAGAAAGAAAGTTCCAGAAGAGCTCTGAAAACTGAGAAAGACAGTGTTGTGTTTAATCATTTGAAAAGAGTTGGCTTTTATGGACTCCTATGCATTATCAATCCCCAGTCATTGTTCCTCTGTACTTTTAAGCTCCTGAGTCTTTACAATCCTCAAAAATCACCTTCAAAAAGTGAACCCTTTTCTAGCAGGGTCATGTCCTTGATAGAATTTTATATAGGCCTCCAAGCTCATCTTTTTTTTTTTTTTTGGTTGTTAGGCTTTTTTTAAGTCTTTCCTTTCAATTTGTCCTCCATAGGAACCAAAGCAATAGTGTTTCCAATGGCAGCAATAACTGACTTTTTAGGATAGGTCAAAAAAAAAAAGAGTTGGCCTTTAGTGAACTAGTTTGTTTAGTACTCAAATGAAAGGAAACAGGCTATTCTCTCCATTAATGATAGCCTTAGTGTCTCAGCTTTACTGTTTCCTATCATTGTCATAGCATTGCTCAATTCAGTTGTCATTCTGTAAAAAAAAAAAAAACACCATCTGATGTCTAGTTTCATTGATAATATTAAGCCATAGTTTGTTCAATAAACTAAAACTGCTCTATTGATAATGTTTTATAAATGCCACCAAAATACAAGAAGCCGAATCCAAAGAAGTGCGTACCCCCTTACATTATTAAAGAACTTCAAATATTTCTTCAACATTTCTTCCCTGCAATTTTTAACAGAACTTTTAAAATACATTTCTGATAGGGCATGAAGATTAACAGAGTTAAAATGAACCAATAGAAGTTTTTGTTCTTCAAAATCTCCCAAGCTTTCAAAAGCACCCAAAAATAGGGAAAAAATGCTTAACACTACCACTCTGGGTAGTTTATAAGTCATAAAAATGTGCTTTTGTGTCATGGACTATATGCAACCACAAATTGTAGTCTGTAATCTCTTAATCAATAATTTGAAGAACTAAGAAAATTCCAAGCATCTGAGAAAAGAAATTTCGGAGGTCATTGGATCTAAGCTAGGTTTTGCATTACATTTGCAAACTGATAGAATGCTGTTTTGGATGTGGTGAATTATGAATTTCTCAACATAGAATTCATTCTACAATATAAGAGATCATTTACAGATATGCCATTTTACATCTAATATTGTCCTCTAGATTAGGCAGTTAATGCATGAGCTCCCCCATGCTTTAAAATATATACAGATAGATGGAGTTTTAGGACATGATCAGCATCTAAATATACCTAATCAAAAATAATGGTACATGTTCACATAAACATTAGTTCTCATATTAAGGTCTTTCTCATATACATGAAGTTTGTCTTGCCGAACTATTAAACATAATCCTTTCAATTTTTTTACTGGATTAGGGAAAAGAAATGAGTGTTTTTTCTTTCAAATAATTCTCACACAATTTTGCTGCAGAAATGTATAAAGAATAGCTTTCCGTGTAGATCCTTTTCACAAGTTTATGTGCTACTCTGCCTGAAAAGTTTATATACCGTGTATCATAATATAAACTGGAATAGTTCATTTTGAAAATTTACACACACACACACACACACGTAAAAAAAAGAATTTTTGGTCAAAATGGGTACATAAATGCAATTTTAGGAGAAATACATAGGAAAACTCACACCATTCATGAACATTTCTTTAAAAACTACAATTAAATTAAAACAAGTTAAAGCTTAGGAAAAATAAAAAAAGTTGATCAATTATTAAACATAAAAATCCATCTATGTTCTATATAAGTTACTTTGGGAAATAATAAAGTGTGTGTATGTGTGTATCTTTGATAGCAAATTTTCATCCAAGAAATAGTCTTTCCTCTGTTTTAATGAGCCTCTCCTCTTAGTGTACATTTTTGTTTCATTGCTATTAGTAAATGACAAGTGAAGGATATTCATTTTAGCTTGAAAATATCAGGTATGCACTTTAAGAGATATATTTTGCCAGTTTTAATGAGTCGGTGTTTCTTTTTCAAAGAAATACTTATCTGTGATGGGGGTGCTGTGTAGATGACAACTGATATTTAATAAGTGATAGCTCTTGTATTAGCAGTAGTTCACTAAAGAAAATGTCTCAAATAGCTTTTGAAAAACTGTAAGTTGCACTGGCCCAAAGGCAAGATGTGACCTTTTTATTACATAATGAGAATCATTTATTATCTCACAATGTATCTTAAAGTCACAGACAAAATGCCACTTTGATAATTGCTTTCAATTAGCTTTGAGCATAGCATACATTCATAAAATGTCTTCCCTAATTTAGACTTGAATTAGAGAAAATTGGAGACATAATCTACATGAGGGTTGTCTCATTTAAGGTGATTTCTGGTTTTATATCAAAGAAATCAAAACAGGTAGTTATGAAGTAATCTTTCATAGGGTTTTAAACAGGCTTTTCATATTTGATTTGATTTTACTACCAATTAATTAACAAATTAGAATGCTACTTAATCATTTTTGACCTTTTTAACATGCTAGACTTCGATTTCAAGTCCTAGTGGTTATTTTCAAATTAAGCATGGAAGTTCATATTAAGCACAATGAACCCAGAAGTATAAATAAGAAATTGTGATATAATTGAGTGCCAATTTTTTATATAATGGATACAACATTCATTATTATCTTAATCCAGCAAGAACAAAGCAGAGTAGAACCAGTTTCTACCTCTTTTTTGTCAAACAAAGGATACAACAGACCACTTTTGGGAGAAATATCCTAATCAGGGGAAAGTTAAATGTGGAACATGATCTAATTGCTGTAATTCATATCCAACAGGTCTTCTCTGAGTATGTGCTAGCACATACTTCCTCTATGCCATTTACAATTCATTGGATCCAATGTATATTGAATTCTGTTTTATCCTATAGTTGGGAACAGTTGCCTATATAATTATAATGTTATATTATAAAGATTCCACAAAGTTGGGAAAATGACTATTATATGCAGGGAATACCATAGCTTATTTTTCCCCAATATGCTTTTTACCTACCAAATACTGTGTCTGCTATTTTATGCAAAATGTATATTTTATCTGAACTTGTTATTACTGTGTTTTACATGTGTTTACATATTTCATGATAGTGTGACTTTAAAATATTCTAAAACAAATGTAAGTAGACACTAGGAGGTTCAGGTAGTGACTTTAACGCTATTGATATGATTATGTCAATCTTTCATTTGAATAATGGTCTAATCAATTATCAGCTTTTAAAAATTGTATTCACTTGTCTTATGTCTGTTGGAACATCTTTAAAAGTTAGGAAAGGAAAGCGTACAATTATCTTGTGACAGGTGATATAATTATAACTTGTTTTCTTTTTCACCAGATAAAAATTACCCACATGAATCAAGCTCCAGTTCTGATGGGGCCTACTCCGAAAACTGGCTTCTTCTCTTCCTTCATTAAAAGAACAAGGAACTACAGCAAAGAGTAGTTCAAACCTTACAAAATCAAATGAGCAGGGATGTAGACTGGAAATCTTTCAAGGGTTTTTAAAATATTCTCTACTGCATAATCAAAGAAGCAAGAATAACAGTTGCTGTGACAGAGCTAATGTAAAATGATGCTATTAGAATAATTTGTTGCCACAGTTTTGTAGGCATTTTGCATGAAGAAAGCTAATGTTTACATAAACTGATAAAACATATTTTTGTTGCATGCATTACACTCACTAATTTACAGTATAAATATGCTATGGACGGGGGAGGTGGAAATGCAACACTGTTGGAAATGTGATTTTCATACAATATGATCCTCAACCTGCTTGCTTCAGTTTTTAGATGAGATATTTAATTCCTTCGACCTCTTCAGGCCTTTACTGAGGAAAATAGAGAGATTTGTTATAGCCTTACTGCTTACAAATAAATAACACTTTGCCAGTTCTCTCTTCTAAATAGAACTAGGCCAGATTAGTGTGGATCCAATTCATTTCAAGACTAAAATATGAAAGATTCATTTATTTTTCTGCGTTTAGCTTCACTCAGAAACATATTTAACAGATAATACATCCCGTTATCCATATGAGGATTAACTTTCACATAAGCATGTTTAGGATTATGTTGTTTACATTTCACATTGTTATCACATTTATAAACATTTTCACCAAGATGTAGGCATAAGAGTAGAATTTAAATAAATGTTGCTAACTTTTTTCTGAAATAATGAGCTGTTTCAAACAGTATGGAAGAAACCCCAAATTTACCTAGCACTGGTTGAACTGCTCACCCATTCTTGTCTCTCCAATAAATATAATTATTTGATTCTTGTTTTTCAAACAATTGTCACAATCACATTTCATTATATTCTATAAATGGAATATGCAAAAATTATCTAGTAATGTTTGATCTTTTGATGTCAGTTTTAAATATTCTTCACTGCACCAGATACAGTTACAAATAAGCAAATAAATATGCCTAATAAACAACATTTCTCTTTCCATTAATCAACATAGTAAGTATATGAGGAATTAGATTAATGGATAAATAATCATTTTCTGGATAAGATTCATTTTTCCAATCTCTTAATTACATTAAGCATATATAAGTAACTATGGGAGAACATGGGCTGAAATTCACAAGTAATATCCACAGAGGTTCATAACTTGGTGTAATTATTTAAGTCTCATCAATGAAAGATTACAAGCTCGTCTTAGATATAAGAGTACTAATACATGGCTAGATCATATGTGGATAAATCTTATTGTGGCATTTACGTAATATAAAGTAAGCAAATTATTCACTCAAGAGCTTCACTGTATCCAGCAGCTTCTGTAATTGATGCAAGCCCTTGTTCTATTCTATACGTGGGACAGAGTTTATGCCCTGATACTGCTTTCATTCTTCTGATGGAAGCAATAAGAGCAATGCCACAAATGAAGAGAGTAAATATCAACCACATCAATCACAACAAGGGAGCCATCTTAAAATTCAGCTGGTTTTTGGGGACCCCAAGCCTAATAATATAGTCTAGAAGAACTTACAAACATCACCTTAGAATAATACATCTTCTAAGTGTTTACCTTTCACAAGTGTACCAGTGGAGATACTGGATTTGGAAAACTCTTAAATCCATTTTAATTCTTAAGGGTTCTAAAGAATTAAAAGAAGATTATGGAAGCTCAATTCTTCCTTTATCTTAGTTTTCATATACATAATAGGGAGTGACTGTTTGCAGCCTTTTATATCTTGGGGAACTATTCATAAATTTTGAAACCCATTTTTCTAGATCTCTAAATGGTTTAGAAAGCTTGCACAGTAAATTTAAGATCAGTTATAGCAGGAAATCAAGTCAAAATACCAAGATAAAGAAAATTATTTTTGCTATTCTTTTGTATGTTAAATAATGGGCAATCTTTTTACAAGTTCTCCAAACCTTATTAGATTTTGCATTCTGACATGAGATATCATGTCAGACCCTTAAATGTATTAAGATTTTAATATTCTCTTAGGAGATTGCTAAAATCTTGCAAGCATTGGGATACTTGTTATTAATTGAAGGGTTGTGATCAGGCCATCATGGAAGATTGTGCCTTGCATTTCAAAATGTTAGTACTGCAGTATTGAGATTTAAAATACTTAGACAATTGAACAACATGAAAATTATGTGATAAAGTCTTTTTTTGAATCCAATAATTTCTACTAAGGTTGTTCTTTCTCTTTCATGGCCTCTTAATTTAATTGCTTCAAGGCTGCAATACACTTTGTGTGGTCTTAATAGTTCTCCTTCCTGGTGAAGCCCCTCACTGCTTTAGCATTGCAAAAAAATTATATGTACAAGAAAAGTCTTTGGATTGAATCCAGACTTAATCAGAATAGACACATTTAAGAGTTGGGTCTATTTCAGTGTTATACTCTAAGTGTCAGGTGAACATGGGTGAAAAACACTTTGTGATTTCTTTTTCTCTTAGTTGAGAATTGCTTGATTTGTATTGTTGCATCTCTTCTTTTTCTCAAACTTGCTACCATAAAAACTTGTTTAAAATGTTTGAATTATTAATATATTTATTAATCTATACCATATATTGCTAGTTATCAGTCAAATGTCTTTTCAAGTTGATTCACACATCTATATGAAATGTAAAAAGTATTCACATGTAATGCACAATGGTACATATGCACATGTTACAGAATTTGATTGATTTTGTCTGTATGTAATTGAAGATAAATCTAGAGAAGCCATTAATGGATGACAGGTACATGAAAATATTCTTAATACTAAGTAAACATTAGCAGAATACCAATTAATATGGCATTCAAGTTGAGAAATAAGATACCTGTCACCAAACATAAGGCTGTAGAGTTTAACAACCATGGATACTGTGATGTTAACAACTATGTTACATGCATAATAGTGAAAGTATTATCATTTTCTTATGAGCTACATGAAAATGTCCACTACATTTAATACAATGCTTACCTATTATGCTTCTAAGGTAAATATGTCTCATTTAATATCACATAATGTGTATGTGCATTTTATGAAATTATAGCCACCATACTAAATATTTAGCTACCATAATAAATATTTTCTCATAATGACACAGTTTGGTGCATGATTTTCAACATATTTTGTGAATTTATTTTTCAAAAAAATGTCAAAAGCCATACTTTTTCTTTTACCAAATCTTTGTGTGTCTTAAGCGTTTGACATATGCTCTTGCTACTATGCAGTTTGCTAAAAAGGTACCTTGGGAAGCTTTGCAGAAGTGATTCATATAAACGTGTAAGCAGTAATCACAGTGTTTTGATATTTACAGAAAAAACAACACCTGTGTTGACGGTAGACTAGCAAAATTCAATATTGAATGCTGCTTTCAAATATGCACACTTTCATTCACAAAGATTGCCAAATTCTGGAACTGAAATTAGAATATACATAAGATTGCTAAGCATTCTTCAATGTGGTAGACTTCAGATGCTCTGGAACAGCTCTGCTATAATTCTTACCAGTCATTTGAAAAAGTTGAAGTTATCTAACTAGGTAGAGGTATATACTAAATTAATGTAAGTTCCTATGTGTCATAAGAGCCTCAGGAAATTCCATTTCTTTTCCATCTTGAAGCAAATACAAATAGTCCTCAGTTAATAATGGTAATTTGGACTAGAATTTCTCTTGCTAAGCAGTACAGTTATAAAGAGTGACGTTATATGACTGTGGAACTTAGTGATGGAAATTCCAGCACTTCTAGTTGCCACCATCAAGTGAATCACCATGGATCATTAAACAAGCACATTTCATTTGGGCCTTCCGACTGGCTTCCCCATTGACTAATTGTAGGAAGTTGGCAAAGAAAGTGACAAATGATGCTATGATGTAATTGGAAGCCAGGTGCCAAGTGTCCAAATCACAATTACATGATTGCAAAGACCATTGTACAAAGAACTAGTTGTAAATGTCACTCATTCACTGCTGTTGTATGTTCAAAAAGTCATTAAGTGGGTACTGGCTGTATAGCGCAGTTGCACAGGTCTACCCATGTTCTGTATTCTGTAATTTTTAAATGAATCAGTAGGAATCAGTATTTAGGATTGTCATAGGCAATTGGACATAATATTTTTTGTTTCATTGACTCACTTTGAAATATTGTACATGGCAGAGCAAAGAATCTGATATTTATTGAGAAGAATTTGCCTAATTTTCACAGTGTGGTAATAATTTGACTAAATAGATTTTTTTATAGATCAAATTTACCTTGGTTTTTTAAAAAAAAAATGCTACTTGCAACTAAATAGAAACATGATCTGTTTTTGGAAATAGGCTCTAAATGGAATAAATTCTATCCACTAGACATTAGTGGCATCATTATTGAATATTTAGGTCTTCCTTCTTCAGATGCATGTACTTTCTGACTTGAATTAAAATTTCTGTCATCTTTATGCAGTAAGTCAATGCTGGGTTGAGATGAAAAGGATTATCATAAAAGAAATGAAGAAACATCCCTTAAATTCATAAAGTACAAAGAAAACATTTTCCCCATAATCAAATTATTAACCATTCTGAAAAAAATGACCTAGAACATTTCAGTTTCCAAATGTGTCTCGGCTTACATGTTTCATGCTGCCAAAATTGCAATATGGAGTATATTAGCAATAATAATAGCATTTAGGCTTATGTACTGTCCCATAATGCTTTATAAAACTGCTTGGGAAATTTACAGTGTAAAAGCATTTATTTGCATATTATCTCCAACCATCTGGGTCCTCATATTACCAACCTCAGTCCTCATATTACCTCCAACAATCTAAGTCCTCATATTATCAACGATGGAATGCTGAGTCAACCTTGAGCTGGTCAGGATCGAATTCCTGGCAGTGGGCAGAGTTAGTTTGCAATACTGCACTTTTATTACTGCGCTATCAGGGTTCCTTAGAGAAGTACTTATAGATTTTTGTGGATAGAAGAAGAGAGGGAAGAGAGGGAAGGGGAGAGAGGCAGGGAGGGCAGCCCGCCAGCTTTCTTCCTCTGTGTCCACGGCAGCCTGCCAGTAGAGGTGGGTCTTTTGCCCACCAGCTCACTTTCTTTTGCCCACCTCTATGTCCATGGCGGACATAGAGGCAGGCAAAATAAAGCAAAACTGGCGGACTGGCGCTTGCTTTCGCCCACCTGTCAGAACTCAGACGGGTGAAAGAAAGAAAGCGCTTTAGGCAGTGGGATGTCGGGGGAGAAGACTGTCTCACCAGCCATAAACCTCACTGCGTGTCACTGCTGCTGATGATACAAAAATAAAAGGATCCTAAGTCAATCATACTGAGAGACATCTTTTCCCAAATAAAAAGGCAAGAAAGATAGCAGAAATATTGAAAAGTGGAAATAATGCAACAGCTTTCAATAAGTTCCACTAACAGTTCTTTGTATTGTTTCTCTGCTAACACCTGCTATTTCCCATCGGTGTTTGCCAGAACAAGATGTTAACAGGATAAAACAGAGCAAGATTACGGGGAGTCAGGGGAAATTAATGTGTTATTTGCTACACAGCTGAAGTGCAACACACACTGTATGGAGGACAGCTTTAATTAAAACTTATTTTGGAAATAATGACAGCTGAAGTACATGTGGAAGGAGAGAAAAAGACAATTTGTAGTTCCCCTGTTTTAATTTCGTTGTATTTAAGTACAATGACAATAAAGATTATACGTAAAGGAGTCTCAGAGGGGCCAAAAGACATTCTTATATGACTAATTCCTCTAAGGAATGGGAGAAGGGGAAATCTACTCTTGGTATGAGGGATTGTGGGTTTTTTTTAATTCGTAAGGAATGAACACTTCATCTAAAGAGAACAACCCCAGACCCAATTTTCTGAGTGAAATTTTTTATCAGTTAGAGCCATCCAGAATGTCCATTACAGTTTTATAATTTTATCAGTGTTATACAATTTAAGCCACTCAGATCACAGTCTTCTAGGTATAGTATTCATTATCATTACCTAAGGAAATAAAAATAAAACAGCCAAGACTGTGATGTTCTCAAACAATCTATTATACTGTATGTTCAATTCTGGAGTGCTGTGCCTGGGTATGCTAACCAGAGTTTGGGGAAAAATAGACATGCAAAAAGTACAGGAAAAAAAACATCATTTAGAGAGGACTGTAAAAGCACTGCAAAGCGGTATATAAGTCAAAGTACTATTGCGATGCCTACAGGGGAAAATGAGATTCTCACTTGGAAAAAGAAGATGAAACTAATCAAAGCATTTAAAACAATACATAGAATGGAGAAAATACAGAAAAAAGGGAAAAAACAGAATAACAGAGTTGGAAGAGACCGTGGAGGTCTTCTAGTCCAACCCCCTTCTTAGGCAGGAAACTCTACAGCACTTCAGTCAAATGATTATCCAACATCTTCTTAAAAAATTCCAGTGTTGGGTCATTCACAACTTCTTGGAGGCAAGTTGTCCTACTGATTAATTGTTCTAACTGTCAGGAAATTCCTCCTTAGTTCTAGACTGTTTCTCTCCTTGATTAATTTCCATCCATTGCTTCTTGTCCAGCCCTCGGGTGCTTTGGACAATAGCTTTGACTTCTTCTTCTTTGTAGCAGCCCCTAAAATATTGGAACACTGCTATCATGCCACCTCTAGTTCTTCTTTTCATTAAACTAGACCGGAGGTGTCAACTCAATTTCATTGAGGGTTGCATCAGGGTTGTGTTTGATCACAGGGGGCGAAGTGGGCAGGGCCAGCTTGACATCACTCGTGTCAGGGGTGCCTGTGATCTGAGTGGTCTGCCAGAGAAAACAGGCTCCCAAGCTCAGTTTTTGGCTGGGACAGCCTCCTGAAACTCTCTGCCAGCAAAAACAGATCTCGGGAGGGCTGCACTTTTACTGGCAGAGGCACTGCAAGCCAGCCCTTTTCTATTTCCAGAGTGGTCCCGCAGGCCAAGTCTAAGTACCCTGTGGGCCGGATCTGGCTCCCGGGCCTTGAGTTTGATACCCCTGAACTAGGCATACCCAGTTCCTACAGCCATTCTTCATATGTTTTAGCCTCCAGTCTCATCTTTCTTGCTTTTCTCTGCACTCTTTCTAGAGTCTGCACATCTTTTTTACATTATGGCGACCAAAACCGAATAGAGTATTCCAAGTGTGGCCTTACCAAGGCATTATAAAGTGGTGCTAACACTTCACGTGATCTTGATTCTATCCCTCTGTTTATGCAGCCTAGAACTGTGTTGGTTTTTTGGCAGCTGCTGCAGACTGCTGGCTCATATTTAAATGGTTGTTCACTAGGACTCCAAGATCCCTTTCACAATTAGTACTATTAAGCAAGGTACCCCATGTTCTGTACCTGTGCATTTTGTTTTTCTTGCCTATATGTAGAACCTTACTTTTTTCACCATTGAATTTTATTTTGTTAGATAGTGCCCAATGTTCAAGTCTGTCACGATTCTTCTAGAAAGATATCTTTCTAGATTTCATTGTGATAAGTTATCATTGTAGCTACTAATTTTAAAATATTTGATAAAGCCATAGGGACATTGCTCAGGAGAAATTAGTTCTGAATATTTAACAAATTTGTCATTTGCGGCAGCATGTTTCAAAAAACACCAGCTTCAGAGAAACAATGCCTGGGCAAAGCCTTCTTCACTTCAAGGTCTTCCTGCTTGTGACCACTATTAGAACATCCATTTGGATTCTGAACTGGGATGATTCTTGACTTAATTTATGAATACTTTTCTCATTTCTTTTTCCAAGGAACAGTGCAAGGAGCCCACAGTCTATTTCTAGATAATCAAAAAGTCCAATAGGCTTCTGAAGCATGTTTCTAAAGTAGGCCACCTGTACCACATAAGCCAATATCTT